TGCTTAGATTGGGTTGGTATTTACATTCCTTGCATTATTTTTACTCATGGACAAATCTATGTGGCACTATCAAAGGTTACCAACAAGAAATGAATAAAAATTTTGGTTCACGACGGGGGGGGGGGGGGGGGGGGGGGGGGGGGGGAGTGGAAGTGTCGTCTATATTCCAAGAATGAATATGTCCCTTTCCCAATCTCCTTGGCCTTTCAAGTTAAGTCGGAGACAGTTCCCAGTAATTGTGTCATACACAATGATGATTAACAAGTACCAATATCAGTGCTTAGATTGGGTTGGTATTTACATTCCTTGCAATATTTTTACTCATGGACAAATCTATGTGGCACTATCAAAGGTTACCAACAAGAAATGAATAAAAATTTTGGTTCACGACGACGACAACACCACTAAGGTATCTCTACAACAAACATCATTTACAAGGAGGTTTTCCAAAATATTTGACCGTGACGTCTTCTTAACAACATGTAACCAATAGTTTTTGAACCTGTATATGCATACACAGATTTTGAATATAACAGCATAAGTTAATGTTAATAGCATATGTGGGTTATGTTTCACTATTTTTCTGTTATCCCTACTAAAACACACCTTCCATACGGTACCCGTGTTTCTCTTTGTTGCTACCACCAAATCATAACTAATACTACATAATTTTGACAGTGATTATTAATGACATTATATAATTAACAATGTTAAAGTATGAAAACATTATCTTCTCACTACAATGCATTACTGACATTAGAAAAATAAATATAATAGGCAACAAAACAAAATGATATGTTTGTTATTATACTACAACATGATGGAGGTTAATAATGGAATTTATCGATATCAAAACTTATAACCGTAACATGTTTTATTCACGTTCGTTACATCCAACCTGAATCATATTTTGTCTCCCATATTGAACTGACTTGACACGCAAAATTCCTCCCATTCATATCCTAATTTGATCATCTGTGAATCATCAATATTCAAAATTAATAGCATTTGAGTCCTTCTGTTGTCACCACACAGTGTCAGCACCTCATAATCATACACCCTGAACATACGTCCGAACTCTAAGGTCAATTTCTGCATTCATATGTATGTATTAGATCTGAGACTCATGAATGTATTAACAAACTTACATGTGTGGTAATTTTAAATATAGCAACATCCAACCAATTTTATACCGGACACCGTATTCGGGTTGAGCTCGACATCAAAGACAAATATTTGGATATGGTCAAAGAACCTACTATGGAATCTGGTCTTCATACTATGCAACCTCTGTATTGGCAGCAACCTTAAAGATGTTGTTACCATAATAAGAAATAGAATAACAAACACATCATTTGGTAGTGCGTAGAATTCCTCTATCTCCTTCCAACCACTTACAACAAGTGGGAGATCCTCATCTTCATTAAACAATATTTCATTATGGACGCCGTCTTGTTTACAATCTTCCAATTGTTTCCCAACTCACTTAGATAAGTTCTAACAAAGAACAGGCCAATCTCCAGATACGCATACAATTTATATGGAGTTTATACAGTTATAATTATAAAGTGATGATTATTTACTTACTTTAAGAAAATATTTCTAAAATACTTTTGACTACAACAATCCCTTACATGGACGTAAATCTTTGCAATTGAAAAAGTATCAACAATGTTTACCATTACAAGTGGAGTGGGACTGCCCATTGATATTTGGGCTTCAGTTGTGCAGCACAACAACTTCAATTGTATTTTCAGATCTATTTCTACCCAAACGGATAGGTTTATAAGAGGCTGGCTCTTTTTTTCCACGTGGATACAGTAATGATTCTACACTTTATGACACCCACCAACATTTTGTATTATTATCCCATTATATTTATTCCTTGGCTGGTACCCCTACCATATATGTTCCAAGTGTAAAGTACATTTGCATGCAACATGTATTACCTTTATTGCCACACACTATTGTGCACTAAACATCCTTCTTATACTGTTAAAATACAATTTTCCATCCGTCAACAACCACACATTCACAAATGACTTTCAACTATGCAGAAACTTTATCACGACTTTAATGGCCCTATTATGGGAAAAATAAAGCATCATAATAATAGTCACAACAAAAGTGTAATTAGTATCACACATAACATGTTATAAAATAACATTACAACACTTTTTTCTACATTCACTTCCACATAAAATAATTCAGGCCTGGGTAAATGATTGTACAAGGTCATTGCAGAAATACATTACATACTTTTCCCAAATAGGGAATTTTAAATATTACAGCCAAATGTTGCCCAAAAAGTTGGACAAACCAGAAGTTCATGTAACATATTCTAAAAAACTAAGTTATCAATAAGAACATTGTAACATTCTTACATACCTAATGCCCAAACATATGGACTTAAACATTGACACTTCCTAATGTTACAAAACATCTAAACAACTTAATCCCCTTAAGCCAGCTTCAAATATCATTCCCAAAAGGTTAACTTCCTGCATGTTTTGAAGCAGCCCTAATTTTTGCTCAAACCCTTTTTGCTCGATCTCCTTGGCGTCAATCATGTTTTGAATCTTGTATTTCAGCGTCCAACAATTGTTAGTATCATGCCTGGGACTACCGGAATGATATGCATATATTGCATTAGGATTGTAGTTAGGAGAAGAAGTTTTGGGGTTTAGATGAGATCCTATCAACGTAATCAGATTCATCTTTAACAAGTGTTGCAATGCTTGAGACAGCGGCATGTTGATGTTGGTAAATTGTCTTTTGGGCTCGTCTTGCCTTCATTGATTTCCCTGTTGTTGTTGTCGCCATGATGCAGGACCAGAGATATTCCCCCACATGTTGATCGTGGTTGTTCTTGTTACGACCCTTTTGGTCGTACACAACATTGGACTCTTTCTTCCCATTATATGGCTTTTTCTGAGTATCAGGGGATGTAGTTCCTTGGATCTTTGCACTTTTGATTCCAGCTTCGACTCTTTCGCCAGTCAGTATTAGCTTGGTGAACCCGGCCGAGGAGCTTCCGATTAGGTGATTGAAGAAAGGTTCCATCAAAGTTCCCATAAAAATGTCAATCAGATCCCTGTCAGTTAAGGGTGGCTGCACCCTACCTGCCAGGTCTCTCCACTTTTTGGCGTATTCTTTGAAGCCCTCGTTGGAACGCATGGTCATATTTTGCAACTGCACATGAGTTGGTGCAAGATCAGCGTTGTATTGGTACTGCTTGTAGAAAGCAACAGCTAGATCTTCCCAAGTGTGAATGTGGGAAATCTCCAATTGATAGAACCACTCAAGTTGCGTCCTAGCTAAGCTCTCTTGGAAGAAATGGACCCAGAGCTTCTGATCAATTGTGTATGGTTGAATCTTGCGTACATAAGATCTCAAATGTATCTTAGGACAGGATACCCCATCATACATGGAAAAGATAGGGATTTTGAACTTTGGTGAGATGACCACTCCAGAAACCAGTCTCATTTCTTCAAAGTCCAGACTAGGTACTAACTGGATCTCCATGGCATTGAGACGATCCTTCAATTGTTTGTATTTGTCGTCTGTAGGAGGATACTGTTCTTTAGCGTAGTCAGCCTCTTCTTCATTAGACTCCAGACTGTGATCCCCTTCTTTTGTCTGATTGTCCCCCTCAGTTGACGGAGTTGCGAATCCTAGAGCTTTCTCTGTTGATCTTTTGAACCTCCTTCCCAAATTCAGGATGCCCACTGACTTCTTTTCCTTCTTGTCTTTGATAAGAAGAGTCTTCAGTTCCTCTTGCCCTTTAGCCAAAGTCAGGAACATTTATTGGAATTGGGCATTTTGTGCTTGGAGATCCTTCACGATTTGTTCCATATCCATCTTACTGAAATAAACAGTAGGAAGATAAAGAAACCTGTGTGGGAGAAACATGTCATGATATGATGCATGGTATGTGGATGCATGTTCTCAAGGACCTCGCGGGGTAAACACAAGAAGATGTTAGAAGTTAAATTTTGATCAACCGCTTTGATTGGAGAACTTCGTATCGTTAGATGTCCTTCCACGAGAATCAAGTTCACCATGTCAAGTGGGTCATAGCCCTTGTCTTATTATCGTGCTTTGGTCTTTGACGAAGTTTGATTAGAGGATGAATCCTCCTGCCACTTAATAGGCGTCTGCTTCAACATGACCCTGCATCATAGGCCCTTGAGATCCTTAAAATGGTTGTTGAAAATTCTATGGTATGATGTCATGATGTTATGTACAAGTATGCAAAGAAAACAAGTTGTTATGTACATACAAAGCAGACAATTCCTTAGGTTTAGGCTTGCATGGAGTTTGTAGTTAAGTACCCTCTTGAAGTTCAGTTGTCTCAACCTGTCCTAGAAAGTAAGCGGGTTCTAGGGGATCTCAATATCACTGACCTTTCTTTTAGGAATTGTCTCAGCATAATCAATCTTTTCTTGCGGTCGAAATGTCCCAAAAGTCTGATCTCAATGAGTGTAGCATCGAGTATCAACCAATTTTCAGCTTTACACCAAAGTCGGCTATCTCAGTACTTCCTAATGGCCAAGTTGTTCAATTAAGGTTCTAAGGTCAGTTAGTGCTTCATGACGCTGCCCAGAGGCCCCGTATTCTCCTCGATTCAACACAAGGGATACTGGTACCAACAAATGCGTCACACTAACGTAGCCATTGTTTCAACCATATCGGTCTACGTCGTACAATTTCCACAATCTATTACTACTTACCTAAAAGATGCCCCAGATCCGGGTGGAGGATCAATACAAAGCCCAAACAAGGAACCATA